CCAATGAAAATACCCTCGGTGAGGATTAACGTACATACATACATACACAAATAAATAAGTAAATAATAAAACATAAGAATTCACCTCCCAGTCCCTGAAGCTTCAAGAACGACTGACAGGGTAAGGCTACAGTGAAGCTGAGGCGCTCCATGCTGGTTCTCATACTGGGCGAAAGACTGGAGAGAGCTCAGAGCCAGTACGGTGCTGTAGGCTGACCCATCTTTTTGAGACGAGCCCATCACCCCTCGAGTTCACCTCGTGGCTCTGACACCAGCATGGGGTTGCCCCAGGCCTCAGTGCCCCCCCCCCCGCCCCCCGAGATCTCCGTCCTACCTGTCAAGCTCAGAGTCAGAGCCCTGTGGCCGCACCTGCGGGACTCCAGCCTCTACAGTCTGTTTGTCAGGGGTCTCTGCAGCGACTGGAGCGACAGGGGAGCTTTTGGGAAACAAGGAGGAACCCTTCAGGGACAAACTCACAAGTTTCTGGTCCCAGAACCTATGCTTCCCAAGGAAACACTCCTTCCACCCCAACCCTCGTCTTCTGAGCTTGTCTCGGCAACATGGGTCCAGAATGACAAGACAGAGTCCCAGGTGCGTGCAGAAGCTGCCCACCCGGCTAACCATGCCCAGCCCCCCGGGTGGGAGGAACTCACCCCGCCTCCGAGGGGCTGTCCGCAGCGGGCTGCGGGGTGGCTAAGGCCAGCATCTCGCAGCTCAGTTCATCCTCTTCATACTGCAACCGGAAAGATCTGGAGTCAGCTGGGATGGGATTGGCAGGAGCAGCAGAGCCAGGGCCCCTCCAAGGCCCTCCCGCTGCAGCCCTGGTCCAGCCTCTGACAGCCAGAGCCTTCCAAGAGCAACCTTCTAAGCCTCCACCTTGCAGAGGGCAGCACTGGGTGTACTGAAGGCCAGAGGGCCCCCCCATCCTGAGGGAGCTGAGAATGAGAATTCCCCCAGGTCACAGTAAACGTGGCAATGCCCTGAGGGCTCAGTGGATGGCGAGGAGGGGATGCCTAGGATGACCTGAGAGTTAAACACCCACGGATCCCCTGGGGGACCTGCTCAGGCCCAGCTGAGGGGCAATACCTCCACTCCCTCTAAGGTGTGAACCCTCGGGAGGGCCACCAAGGCCGAGTCCGCACTAACAGAGATGCTCAATGAGCACAGACCCAGGAAGGTGAGGTGACATCGAGGCTGGAGCGACAGCAGCTTGGGGAGACCACGTGGGCACAGCCCTCGCTCACCTGGAACTTCAGGGGAGGCCCCTCAGGGTGGATCCGGGCACTGGCCACCTCGGCCACGACCATGCCCAGGCGGCGCACGGCTGGTAAACTGCTGTCCAGGCGGCACTTCACTCCTGCCATTAGGCTGGCCAGCAACTCTGGGGAAACCAACACATACATGCTGCATGTGCCGTGGGGAAGGGGGCAATGGGAACAGGGTGCCCGTGCCACCTGCTCACCGTCCCGGCTGTCCTGGAGCTCAGCGTCCCCCAGGTGCGCCAAGCAGATTAAGACAGCTTTGCTGACATAGCACTGCTGGGCCAGGGGTGCGTGGCGGACGGCGCTGCTGCTGCCCCACGTCTCCATGAGCTCCTTCAGCGCCTGGTGGGCAGCACAACCCTGGCCTGGTCAGACAGCCCCCGCCTCCCCTCCACCCAGGCAGGATGCTCCCTCCCCGCCCCACCAGTCGGCGGCCCTGGGATGCTGCAGGGACTGAGGGCCCGACAGGACTTACCTGTACGAGGAGTGGGCGCCGTTGGCTGTCCATGGCCAGGTACCCCAGCAGGCTCTGCAGCACAGGCGTCTGCAAAGGAAGCAGGGCATCTCGTCACCGTCTGCCAGGCAGATACCACCGCCTGCCGCCTGCCTGGCCAGAGTTGCCCAGGGAGCCAAGGGCTGTCTGCGCAGGAGTCCCGGAGCAGGAACGGGTTTGGGCTAAAGGACGGGCATTTCCCAGAAATGAGCACTGTTCCCGCTACACTTGCTACAGTCATTTCTCTGGGGCCTGAGGCGGCCCGCGCCCACCCTGCGGCACTCTCACCGGGTATCGGTACTGCAGGAACAGAAGCTTCTGGGTCATCACAAACCGGGCCTTCTTACTCTTCAAAACCAGGTTTCCCAACAGTCGAGCGAGAACTTGAGGCCTGTGAGGCACAGGTGAGGGGGGAGGGGATCTCAACACGCAGGGCTGGATCCTGGGCTCTGCTCTAACCCCAGGGAGCCCGGGGGTGTTTCAGCTCCGAGTGGGTCCTGATTCTCCCTCTTCCTGATCAACACGGAAACCAGAAGAGCCCAGCACCTCGACGCATCTGACTGCATCGCAGGTTAAATACTTCACCTAGAGCAGGGGTGCCAGCTTTCCCCTCGAAGGACCAGAAACTGACTACCTACACAGGGTTGGCAGGTAAGGTGTCTCCTGCACCCCACCTTCTGCCTTCTTGGAAGAGAAGCATTTACAGTGGGAGGGGGGTACCTTGGCTCTTACCCAGGGGCAGTCTCCACAAGCCCTGTCAGCACGGCCTCCATGGCCCGGTCGGGCACGCATTCCACCAGGCGCCAGCAGACCCGCTGCCAGAGGCAGCTGCCCTGGGTGAGTGCTGTCAACCGAGGCACCAGCACACCCAGGATCTCCTCTGCGGGAAAGCCAACGGGGCCATGGGGCATCCAGTATCTGCAGCCCACAGGCCCACTGGCTGCATAGCCAAACCCCTACCAAGGAGCCCAGGACAGCCGGCATCAGCCCACCCACGACCAGGCCCAGGCAAGGGGACCGCTGCTGTTTCAGGACACACAGCCATGCTCCGACCCTCTGCCAGGGAAAAATGCCCCCCCACCCACAGGACAGCCACCAAGAGGAAGAGGGAGGGGACCAGAACACGCTGTAGCTTCTCCCCAGACAGGAAACACTCACTCTGCCTCCCGTAGACACAGGCTTTCCCCACGACCTGAGACACAAAGGAGACAGAGCAGTCTAAGCCGCCTAGGACAGGAAGGAAAAGGAGATTTTAAGCTATCGAAGAATACCTGACAAGTGGGGCCATCCCTCATTCCTGGGCAGGCGGACTCCGTGTCATAAAAAAACCAATTCATTCACTCTAAACCAGTGGTTCTCAACCTTCCTCATGCGGCGACCCTTTTAATACAGTTCATGTTGTGGTGACCCCCAATTTCATTGTTACAAATTGAACATAATTAAAGCATAGTGATTCATCACAAAAACAATATGTAATTATATATGTGTTTTCCGATGGTCTTAGGCGACCCCTGTGAAAGGGTCGTGACCCACAGGTTGAGAACTGCTGCAACGAACCATAATCATAATAGGCTTGTTCTAACTTGAACAGCCAAGGATAATAACTGTTTAAAAACCGTTACACACATTTGATCACTTAATTGTCACAATGATCCTCCGAAGTAGGGACGAGTGTGGCAGCACCAGGAGAAGCACAAGAGGGGCCTGGCCAAGGCGTTCAGCTACTCACAGACACAGGGCGGGCTCTGAGCCGCCCAGAGGGGGGAAGGGAGGAAACAAGGACACAGAAACCAGGAGAGGGCGGGCGATACCAGCTCCACAAGCAGAGCCAGGACGGTGGAGCCGACCAGGTTTCAGGCGGGACCCACGCACAGTGGGAACGACAGGAATTCGGAGTTTGTGATCTAGAGAGGCGCGCCCGCACAGCCCCTGCCGGTGAAGTAGACTCTGGGCACCTTTAGAACATCCCAGGGCATCACCCAGTAAAAGGCAGTGGGGCTGGGAGGCCTGGCAAGGTAAGAGCTTCACCTCCCTGTGGTCCCTCCCCCTAGACAGTGGTGCTGCCTCCTTCGAGGACAGTCCTGGGACTCCACAAAGCAACACGCATGAAGAGCCTTGAGCAACACCTGACGCGGCACCAGCTCCACCATCTCAGCTGCTGGAGCGCTGGGCACGCCCATGCGAGACACCTGACCCCACAAATGACGCTTCAAAGACTTTGTGATGAGGGGGTGAATAAGAAGCCGCTCCCACAGTGCCCCTCCAGGCAGCCAAGATGGCCAGTGACAAAGACACTGAGAGCCGCAGGCTAACAAGGACAAGCAGACCCTCGTCAACGGCCACGTCAGACGAGCCCTGTCACAGTGAGAACAGTTTTCAGATGTCCCATCGACACTAAGGGCCTAGCAGTGAGCAGCCCCATCTGGCTGACTTCACCAATGTCCACCCAAGAACTGAAGAAATCAAGAGTCAGCTCCATGTCCTGGCCGGTTTGGCTCGGTGGACAGAGCGTCGGCCTGCGGACTGAAGGGTCCCAGGTTCGATTCTGGTCAAGGGCACATGCCCAGATTGCAGGCTTGATCCCAGTGGGGGGTGGGCAGGAGGCAGCCAATCAATGATTCTCTCTCATCACTGATGTTTCTATCTCTCTACCTCTCTCCCTTCTCTCTGAAATCAATAAAAATATATTTTTAAAAAATAAAGAGTCAGCTCCACCTCCATAGTCAACAGCCACAAAGTGGGTAAAACTTCAGGATGTGGGTCATTGCCGCCCCCAACAGGAGACAACGTCTGACCCACCAACAGCACCACCCAGAGACGGCAAAGTGCCCAGAGGCCAGGGAGATGAAGGGGGCGGCAGAGCAAGAAAACGGCTGGAAGAGGGTCACTTTGGGGTGGGGAGGGCTCACCTCGGAGAGAGTCCACCACCGCCTGCAGCACCCGCACAGCCTCCTCCCCGAGCAGAGGAAAGTAGCTCTGAGGGAAGAACTCAGCCAGGTTCTCCTGCTGCAGGCAGTTGCCCAGGCGGTCGGGCAAGCCCACCACCTTGATTAGGAGCGCCTCCTGGAGCCGAGGAAAGGCTGGCTCCGCCTGCTGCCGACACTGCCCCTCCATGACTGCAGCCATCCTGCCCGCCTTCAGGAACCGGGCCAGCAGCCTTGCCATCTTCATCAGACGGAAACTGGGACTGAACCAAGAGCAGGTGTGAGGGGCGGAACCCCAACCCCCTCCATCCGCAGCATCCTCGGCCAATGGGAGCAGCAACAGCCGTCAAGAAACAGGTAATTCCAACAACTTAACGGGCGCTATTCCCTCCACATACATTGAAAGCAAGAGTATCTAAATCTCCCTAAGTAGCTAAGATTGCCAGCGGGCACAGCACCTGCTGGGCCCAGTGCCGCCCCCTACGCTTGGAATCACACTGGACACCACCGCCCTCTCCTGGCCGTGGTTTTCATACGGTGCTTGCTCTCTTCAGCAGCCCGCTTTCCAACCAGGCATCCCCACAAGGGCTGTCCCGTGCTCTAATGTGGAATCTAGGACCCTCCCCCCCCCAAGTGAGGGGGTTCCAGGAGCTTGCTGGGGCACCTGGGTGCCTCACTGCAGAGCTGGGAGCCACAGGGTGAAGGAGAGGGCGATGGCCATGCACTGCCACCCCTGACACTTCAGTCTGGAGCTAACCCACTGCCTCAGCCGCAGGGACTCAAACACCCTCGTTGCAGAGATGGACACAAACCAGGTTTGATTTTCAGGTGCCCTGCTATTGGTTTGCAATCCTTCAGGCCATGCGTATGCTTTGGATGCGACCAGCGACCCCGTAATGAGACGCAGCCCCACTCACCCAGCCGTGTCCTCGAGGGCCTCCATCAGCACCAGGAAGGCTTGGTCAGCTGGGCCCTCCAGGAAGAAGCTGGCCCACAACTCCTCCAACTGGCCATTGGGCAGCAGCCCCAGCCAGTCCGGGTTCAGCTTGCTGACCAGACATCTGAGAACGGCCGAAAAGTGGACCCTGGCAAACTCCTCCTGCTCCCCAGGGAGGGCCGGGTTCTCCGTTCCTCCGAAATAGCGCTTCAGGGACCCCAGGGTGGAGAAGATGCAGCCACCATCCTCAGAAGAGGAAAGGGTGTGAACAGCCTCCCGGACAGTGAGCCGGACCGAAGACGGCACTGGATCCATCCTGTTCAGAGGAAAGGACGTGAAAGCGCACGGAGCCGTGGGCATCCACATGGGACCCAGTCTCGGAGAAGGACGCATCTCCCACCCTCTGGCCTCTTATTACGTAAACTTCCTGGGGACCTCACTCCTCTTTGCCCCTTCTGTCACCCAGCAGTATCCTCTCCCTCCCACCTCTTTCACCGTTTTCACCGAGTCCTTTTCAGGACCTGAGGCCCTCTATGACTCCCACTACAGTAGGTCAACCCGTCCAGGGACACATGCCAGTAGCTGGAGATGGCAGGGACCAGGGATGCTGGTAAACATTCCACATACACAGACAGCCTCCCACAATAGAGGTTATCCAAACCAAATGTCACCAGTGCTGAGGTTGGGAGACCTGGTCTTGAGGCACCCATCAATGCCCTTCCGACTTCCACTCGCCAAACTCCCCTTTTTTTTTCAACCACCGCCGTCTGTGAGTAGTATTTATTTCGGGCCGAGCGCCCCAGCAGGACTAAGTACCATTAAGTAGGCGCCAGTCTGTTACCAGTGCACCCAGCCTCTCGATAAGCCTGTATTAGGGGCCCAACGGAGTCCCCCAGAGCCTGGTGCCTCCCGACCCAGCCGGGTCTACGAGGGCGGCGGCACGCAGAGTGCACGCGGGCCAACAGCAGCGATCAGCCGTCCCACGCCCCCCACACAGCGTGCCCTGGGCAGAAGCTCATTATTAGGTGAACACTGAAAATAA